AAATAAGAAAAGACAACAGTAAGTAGGGAAAATCAAGTCAGGTTTGGTCACCGTCTTTAGTTCATGTCAACCCATTAATTGGGTTGACTTGAAAAGGCTGAGCCCAGGTAACTGAAACAGGGGCACCTCAGCTTGGGAGGGCTGAGTCCTGACCCAGACCCTTCCTTACGCACACAGAAGTGGCTGATGCATCTTCTTCTCTGTGCAGATCTGCCCTACATCCTCCTCCCAGCAGTGTGCACACCAAGCCTCACACCTCCCTGCAGAGCTGACTTCCTTCTGAGCAGGTAACTTGGAAGGGTGGGTCTTCTTGTGCCCTAAATGCAAGCTAAGGCTTTAAAATGTAGCTTTGGAATTTAGCGGCCAAGAGTTTGTGGAGCCTAGTGTGAGTCCCCTCTGGCAGCACCCTGGACCTGGCTGCCAGAGCAAAGACCTCTTTGGAAACCGAGCCTGCAGATGCCATGGCATGAGCGATAAGGGCTTGTGGATAAATAACTCACTGAAAGGTAGGAAACAAGGGCTGGCTTTCAGAATGGAGATGGGCTGTCAGCGGTATCTGCTTTTCACCACACTACTAATGATTGACTAGGAAAGCAGCACAGTGCACTGAGGATACATGTTGTTAGGGGAGCGAAAATGAAAGGAAGCTGTGAAGAGGTGCACAAGCATCTTCTAGTCCTGAATAACTGGACAGTTAAGTACACGTTATTGAATCATGGTGGGTGGACTGATGACAGCCTGATGGCTCTGAATTAGCTGCTACCCTGTGGAAGGTCAATGTTGAAGTGAACGTGGCAGCTGGGAAGCAAGGAGGGCAGATACACACTCAGACTGGCTGGACAGTATTTTGGGGGTGGAGGAGTATCCTGGTGTGTTTGTGCTGTTAAACTCCCCTCAAAGCTGCTGGCAGATCCTGATCCAATGTGTTGTAATGCAGACCCAGCTTGTGCCCAGGTTGTCCCCTGTCTCAGCTGCGCTGGCTGGAGCAGAAGGCCAGAGGCTGCTAGAGTTCAGCAGTAAGGTTTGCCCTGCCGTGCCCGAGGATGAGTCGGGCAGAAGCTGTTAGCAATAAAGAATAGATGGGCTTGATGGTCAGTCAATCTCAAACCTTCCGAATCAATTGCAGACTCTCCAGTGCCAGCCCAGGGATCACAACACCTGTGGTGGGAATGCGTCATCATGCAGCTCTCCTGCCAGGCATGATAATACCGTACCTAGGGAGAGCCTGAAGAGCTCTTTGCTCTCAACGATCCAACTCTGGGTGGGATTTCCAAGGGAATGGATCTCTGGAAACTCCCTTTTTTTCCCAGGACAAGCAGCCATTTCCCACTCCCCAATGCAGCTCTGTGTTAACACCAATCTCTGTTCTCTGCCAGTGCTGCCCCAAACAGCAGCTGGAGTTGAGAGCCCCTGTTTAGCAACATGTGTAAATCTAAAATTACTCTAGAAGAATCAACAGAATTTTTTCATGTAAGTGCAGAGTCTGCCCATAGCAAAAGTAGAGCGAGGAAAGCAGGAAAGAAGAAAGGAAGGAGAGCCAGCAGATCCAAACTCAACACCAGGGACCTTGACTCCACTCACCAGAAAACTTAAGGGCAGATCTAATTCTCTTTTTACTCACAGGAGAAAGTGAAGGTCTCATGCACACACTTTCTCACAGTCTCCTTCCCTTTTCCCAACAACCTCGGCAACTTCTACCACTAGTCAGCCACCCTTGCGTGTAAGTTCCTTTAAATTTGAATGGGACAATCTTCCAGATTCTGGGGGATGTCTTTGTCAGAGGAATGCCTGGAGATATGGTCCCTGTTTGATAAAATTGTGAGCTGATAAATTAACAGAGGACTGACTAAAGATATGATCCTTTGTCTGTAGTAGAAAACCTGTTTTACCATCAACTATTTTAAAGGTACCTTACAACAAAATACGTATGTTTGTATATTCATGTTCCTGGATTCTATTCTGAATTTATGAATATTGTGATCCATGTGTGTGTCTAATGGGTAACTTGGACTTTAGCCTGTGTGTTTGCTACCCTTAACCTTTCAGCCCACAATTGTGTAGGCACCACTTGAACTAGTGTTTCCAAATCAGTTTCATTTTTGCACTTTCTAAGTCTGCATGTGGCTCTGAGTCACACGCAAAAGTCCTACAAATAACAGCATTCATTTTAGTTCTTACCCTGGGGGTGGGCAACTGCCCAGTTCCCAAGGCAACACCTACAGCCCTTGTCAGCCTCAGCTTCCTCTCCTGCTCTCCCTCTCGTGGCCCACTTACACTGTCTAATACACTCTGGTATGCCAGCCCCTGTATCCCTCAAACACTGCTTGGTGGAGCAACCCCCGGGGTCCACTGCTGGGGGTCTAGGGAGTACGAGAGTGAGGTGACATCCAGTGAGTTGGTGGCACCTTGCAGGGACATGTGCAGTCCCTTTTCTCCTCAAGTCTCTCCTCCTCAGGAGGGACGTTGACATCTCTTACCTGTACTGTTCGTTGGCTTTCAGCTTCCCATTGCATGTTGCCCTGGACTGGCCACATTCTTCTGTTCCCACTGGTACTCTCCAGGTTTCAGGGGAGCTCCTGGGGCTCGGGTGGAAGGGATTGGGGATTAGCACAGCCAGGTAGGAGTCCTCTGTCCCATAATAGTGGTCATACCATGTGCTGGACATGATTTCCAGGGTGGGCCTCAGCACTGAAGGGGAATGTACAAGGTGACAGTGGTAGTCCCAAAGCAAGGTCCAGGGGACCTGCTGCCCTCCAGGGAGCTACTGCAGATCAGGATGTGCAGGGGCACTTACGTGAGTCATTAGTGGTAGCGATGACACCATAAAACTCGATCTGGCCGTTCTCCTCGCTGAAAAGGTCAGACGAAATGATAACCGTGGAGCTGGCCTCCACCTGGAAGATGTCTGCTCGCAGGGGTGGAGGCAGGGCTGGAAAAGGAACCAGCAAGCACAGCCTGTTAGTGTGTCCCTGCTCCCACAGACCTGCCACACATTGCTCAGCCTGTTACTGGTCCCAGCATCACTGCCCAGATCCCTGACCCACTGCAGTTCATGCAGGATCACATGAAGCTGACAGGCATCTGAAAGAGTCCCCAGGTCTAATTAGCAACACTGAATGTCTTCTCCCAGGGTCTGTGGCAAGGTTGTGGGAAAGGAGAGGACTCACCCTCCACTGTTGTGTTGCACAGCAGAGTCACAGCCTGGCTCCTCATTGTGTTCATGCCCACTGTGCTCACAATGATTCTATAGGATGAGTTTGGCCCCAGCCCCTCCAGACTGGCCTCGCTCGTCGGCATGCTCATGACATACTTGGAGGTGGGAGGTCCATCAGAGAGTCTCTCTGTCACCACCTCATAAGCCTCCACATCTCCAGGAGAGCTGGTCCAGTTCAAGTAAAGGCTCCTTGACTCTGGCAGGCATTGCACGTCTTCCACTGGGTTTGGCTCTGCGAAGGAGATATGGCGGGCTCTGAACTTACTGGATCAGAGAAGTCCCAACTTCAGCCTATGTGTCAGCCCACAACCTATGGACCTCTACTGCCTGTCCCTACATCAATGAGAGAGGAGCAGAGCTGGACATCTCTGACCTGGGAGCCTTCTGTGCCAAAGGCCACAGGACCAGGCTAATGGATCAGGGCCTGAACAGATGTCTTATATGAGAAGCAGACCAATGGAAAACCCTGCAGAGACTGCTTTGCCTCACAGGTAGCTGGGATACTAGATGATGGGAAATCTCTATGATAGCGCTAGCTTAGGGAGCTGATGGCTACCAGAGGGTCATCTTGCTGGCTTTTTTTATCTCCCACCATGAAGACTTCTCATGCTTGTGTTGACACCCAGGGGCTGATCCAGTCTTCAGACCACCCAGGTTTTTCTCCCCTTTCCAGCTCCATCCTCTTGGCACCGCATACCTACCCATTGGCACTACCAAGGGTTTGGTGCTGCTCCAGTAGGGCCCAGCCACGCAACTCAAGGAGACAGAGTAGTTCCTCCCTGGGATCAGACCCTGGAGGAGGTGCTGTACCTGCCCTCTGCTGAGGGCATGCTGCCAGGGCAGTGTGCCGTTCCTGGGATCCCGCAGCCACAGCTGGCAGTCGTCCTGCTGTCCAGAGATACTGCCCCAGGAGATAAGCATTGTGTTGTTCCCTTCAGCCACCGCAGAGAGATTTTTGGGAACTGAGGGGGCTACAATAAAAACCACACCAGGGGAGAGTTACTGACATGCATGTACTCTCTTCCATCTTATAGAGATGCAAGTAGAAGGTGGGTAATATCCAAGGAAACTTCAGAAGTTCAGTGATAACGTTTCTGCAGCTGCTGGCTGCCACTGCCACTAATGACCTTTAAATGGCAATTGGAAGACATGCAGAGTGAGGAGCATGAGGAGATGGGTTCTTCCTCCTGCTAATTGGCAAGTTTCATTAGAAATCTGCCTGAAGGGCTCTGCACATGACTCCCAGCACCCTGCCAGGGGCTGGCTGAGCAGAGACCTCTGGATTCCCCAGGCAAAATGTAGGGACTGTGGGAACAAGCACATGAAAAGGCTTATTGTGCTTAGCTGCAATTTCCACATTCCTTAAAAAAAAGGCCCAGCCTCCCCTTATGTCCCATGCCAGGAATTTTCTGAGTGTCTGGGAGAAAGGCAGCAGGGATGGTGGGGTGTCCCCCCTGAGTATAAGGCCTCGTGGTCTCCCAGGCTGTGGGTTTCCTCTACCAGAGCAGCACTACTGCCATGGGATCCCTTGCTCTTGTTTGGTCACCCATGCCTGGAGGAGCCAGCTTGTGTGAACAGTGGGGCCATGAGCTGGAGGTCTGCCTCCTGAAACAGCAACCATGGCTGCCAGACTGTCCTATGGTCAAGAAGTATTGCCTTCCTCTCTCCTCCACCGGGGGCTTGCACAGCCCATTATCCCACTGATACAGTGATACCTACAGCTTCCAGGCAGCAGTCCTAGCTGTGTCCCTGCCCCTTCCCACCGCAGGTGTTGAGCCTGCCCAGCTGGGGAAAGCTGAGCCTCATGCATGATGCAAGAACCTCCAGGTCTTGCCACTTACTTGTCCAGTCGCTGATGTTCCCTGCGGAGGCTGCATAGGGCCCTGCCACAGCCATTACTTCCAGCAGGTATTTGTGTCCTGGAGCCAGGCCAGAAAAGGTGAATTTGCTGGTGCCTTTCCCAACAGATATATTGGCTGCCACAATACCTGACCCCGAATGATACAGGAGGAGCCTGTAACTGTCTTGTCCTTGGGGTTCAGATCGCCAGGATGCACTCAGCCTGTTGGGATACCCCTGGTTCGTCATGTACACATTATGGGGTGCCAGGGGATCTGGAGAGACAGGATGGGAGACATGTCAGTGAAAGGTCTGAGGACATTGCCTGGGTACCTTGTCAGTGTCATCACATGCGATGCACCATATGGGACAGGGCACTTCGTCTCTGTTGGATGCTGCATCCACCAGCCTGGAGGCAGGTAAAAGCAGCTTCTGCAGACTTCAAATGGTGCCTGTCTGAGCAGAGACAGCCCTGTCCCAGCTGGAGCAAGACACCCATAGGTGGATGAGGAAGGAACACCCAACCGGATAAAGGAGAGGCGAAAGGGAAAGCCTCTGCCCACTGCTCCCTCCTCTGTGCCTCTCCTCTGAAACACAGCTCCAGAAGCTTCACCTGGCCTAATCCAGGCTGGTACAGCTGAAGGTGAGGGTGTGCAGAGCCCTGCTCAGTGCCATGGCACTGACATGCCCTTGGGTTCAGGCAGGGCTCAGGATCTGCCATGAAGATCAGCGGGGCCATGTCCATTGCCATGACTGCCCAGTTTCGTGACTGCCCACACTGCATCACCCTCAAAACAGGGTACTCACATGTCCAGTTGCTGACATTCCCTGCAGGTGTCTGGTAGGACCCCGCCATGGACACCACCTCCAGCACATACTTGTTTCCTGGGGCCAGTCCCGTGAAGGTGAAGTTGTGGGTGTCTCTCTTGAGTGAGGCTGTAGCTGCCACAGTGCCCAGCCGTGCATGATACAGGGTCAGTGCGTAGCCATCTCGGCCCCCGGCCGCAGCTCCCCATGACGCACTCAGTCTGTCTGGGTGCCCTGTGCTCAGCAAGCGCACAGTGGCTGGTGGCAGTGGGCCTGGGGAGTCACCAAACCTGTTGTTAGGGACTGGAGGTGGTACAGAAGGAAACAGATACTTGATGGGACATTGTGCAGCAGAAAAGATACTCCCTGAGGGCTAGGACTCGTAGACCCCCTCTGGCACACTCTTCCTCCTCACTTTTCTCTTTTCTGTCCCCATCCCACTTCACCTTTAATGCTGCTCATCCTTTGTGGTGCATCACATGCCAACCCTTCATCCAGGTCACCCTCATCCCCACAGCCCAGCTGGAGTGCCTTTGCCACCGCTACGTGCACACACATCCTCCAGCAACCAGCTGGCATGCAGGTGCCTGGGCAGAGCTGGCATTGTCTATTCTGTCAAGCCCTAAAATTCTTTGGGGTGGGGAGAGGTGCTGGACTAGCCCTTCTCCAGCGCAAAGACCCATTCTCCTGGGAGGACCATGGATTAGCCTCTTGTACTACGCTGATTCATTTCATGAACCTTTATGGTAATGTGGTTTCTACATGCTGGAGGAGACTCGGCAAGGGCATGAGTGCTCCTGTATACAGGGAGATGGGGCAGCACAGGCAGGGGGATGTCCCCACTTGGGCACAGCTGGGAAACTCTGCATGTCATCAGCATGTCCTTGAGCAAGTCTGCAGCTGAATGTGCCCATGAGGGTAACAGTGTTCCCCTACACTAACTGCTGTCTGTTGCTCCCGTGCACTATGTGCACATCTCCAAATGCACCAGGTCCACCTCCTCAGGATTGCCCAGTGGTGCAACATCTCCCACCACTCTGCAAGAGATACTCCTCTGGGCACTCACGTGTCCAGCCACTGATGTTGGGTGCCGCTGCCTGGTACGGTCCAGCCATGGCACTGGCTTCCAGGCAGTACTCGTATCCTGGAGTCAGGCCCATGAAGGTGAAGTTGTGGGTGTCTCTCTTGAGTGAAGCTGTAGCTGCCCCAGTGCCCAGTCGTGCGTGGTACAAGGTTAGCGTGTCTTGAGTGAAGCTGTAGCTGCCACAGTGCCCAGTCGTGCGTGGTACAAGGTCAGTGTGTAGCCATCTCGTCCCCCAGCCGCAGCTCCCCAGGATGCACTCAGCCTGTCGGGGTGCCCCATACTCAGCCAGTGCACAGCAGCTGGGGGCAGTGGGCCTGGGGAGGAAACACACATCATTGCCAGAAGCCACGTCTGGGCTGAGGGGAATGAAATGCTTCATGTCTATGCCAAGCCTGTGCTGCAGGATGTAGGTCAGCCCTGCAAGGTCACAAGGACTGGCTTTGCCCTTGACTCTGTGGCAGCTGCCTCCTCCCTGATGCTGCCTCAGCTTATGGATGGCTGTGAATGGCTACCAGGGATGCGGGTGGCCAGGCCACAGTGTCATGCACAGACTCCCCATGCTGTATCCAGAGGCCATGAGCACTGGGTGTTTGCATGGGTGGGAAGGGAAGGCAAGATCTGACTGCACCAGTATGGCCTCTGATTTGAACTGGGAAGGAGGAGATCTGGTGGACACCTGGCTGCAAGGAGAGCATCATACTCACGTGTGCAATGGGTGAGGTTGGGGGTGCTGGTGTGGAAGGGCCCAGCTGTGGCCCTCACTGTCACACTGTAGCGGGTGCCGGGGCTCAGGTTCCTGAAGATGTGACTCCTGGCATCCCCACCCAGCACCATGCGCCCAACATGACTGCTGGAGGCTGTGTCATAGACATCCATCACGTAGCCTTCTGCTCCTTGCCCCGTTGCTGCCCAGGAGGCCTGCAGTGCGGAGGCAGAGGGGCTGCCCAGGGTGAGGTTGGCAGGTGCCAAAGGATCTGGAAAGCAACAGGGAGACAGTCAGCCCCTACATGCCACTGCTCACTGCTCAGTGCTATCAGCCGGCTGCTTTGCCCAGTGGTTCCTCATGCTCTGGCAGTGCTGGACTCCAGTCCCTACCTCACACTGGGTGGTAGGCAGGCTGGCCACCAGAGATCCTCCCAGATGAAAGCATGGGGACGAATGGGCAGACAGTGCACATGGCTCTGAGCGCAATATGCCAAGGGTTTGCAGCTGGACATGGCAGGGGAGATGATACCCAGAACCTTGGAGGTGGGTAGGGGGGATTGGCTCTGTGCCAGGGAAGGAGTGAGCAGAAAGGTGGGACAACTATGTAGAAGGTAGGGGCACAACGGGGATGGTTTGGGATGGGGAAGGTGGCAGTGGGTGCTCTGCAAGGCTTAGATGGAGGCTCCGGGGCACAGTGGAGTGCTATGTTCAACCCAACCCATCAGACTCACATGTCCATTGGGTGATGTTGGTTGAGGAAGCTTCGAACAAGCCTTTCACAGCAGTGACCTGCACAGCAAACCTGCTGCCTGCCTCCAAGTGAGTCCAGGTGATGTTCTGGGCATCTGGACCCAAGGTCTGGACCCGATCCCTGCTCTGGGTGCTCAGGCTATACAGAATAATGCGGTAGTGGTCCCTCCTGCCAGGGGGCTTGTTCCAGCATGTGTAAAGCTCTGAGGAGCTGCCTGGGTTGGTAAGGCTCAGGTTTGTTGGTGCAGCAGGAACTGCAAGGAAAGACAGACACATGAGTCAGAGAGAAAAAGATCCAGTTCTGAACATGCAGCCATCTCCGGGGAGGAGTCTTGCGTTCCCCCGGCAGCCAGCAGCAACTGGCCAGCGAGCACTCTGTGCCCACATGGTACAAGAAGGCTGAAGATGACTGCAGGCCAGCATCACCGGGAACCAGGCCATGGTGCCCTCCGCTCCTCTCCCTGGGTGCCAACATTGATCCCCATCCTGTTTTGGAGCTCCTTGCGGTGCTCCCACCCAAATCACCCATGGGTGGTATGGATGCTCACCTGTGCAACCAGTGATGTTCTTGGGGAGGGAGTGGTAGGGTCCAGCTACTGCCCAGATCCTAACAAGGTAGCAAGTTCCTGGCTCCAGCCGAGCCAGGGTGACATTGGTGAGGTCCTTCCCTGCTTCCAGGTTCCTTGCCGGTGCAGAAGACCCCTCCTCGTGCACGCTGAGGAGGTATCCATCCCTCTGCCCAGGAGGGGTCTCCCAGTGCACAGCCAGAGCCCAACCAGTGCTGACAGGTCTTGCCAACAGGGAAA